CCTGTTAGTATCTTATTAACATGTTTGTTAGTAAGTGAGTAATGCTTGTTACAGGGAAGCTGGGGACCTGATGCCAAATGTGAGGACAGCCATTTATCAACCCTTGGCTAGACTGCCAGTGGAGATCAATGCCGTGTTCCTCCTCTGGGAAGGTGTGGTGTAGGACTGACTGTAGGGCTGCCTCTCTGCTTGGTCTCAGCTGTTGGGATCGTTTCCCTTTCCTGGCTCCTCATGTGCATCTCACTTTGTCTCTCTGCTCCAGTCCTCCTGCAAAGAGAACCCCTTCAACCGAAAGCCATCGCCTGTTGCCTCCCCCTCTGCAAAGAAACCTCCCAAAGGCTCCAAACCAGTGCGTCCTCCTGCACCAGGTCATGGCTTCCCACTGATCAAGCGCAAGGTAAAAGAGACCTTGGAAGCAAAGAGGGGCAAAAGCCAGCTTTGTATTATGCCCCCAGGACCATAGGTGTGTTTGCTAAGCCCTGGGTTATCTTTTCAGCATGCAGCTAGCATGCTGATCTGTGTGTGGCTAGGGAGGATGATGTCTTGGCTAGATCCCACTGATGATAGCATTCTTGTCTCCCTTTGTTTCCAAGGTGGGGTGGGGATTACAGATCCTATGTTAGGTGAAGTGTCCTGTTGTTCCCTCACATCCATTAATGAAGACGAACCTTAGGGTTGCCCTTGGAAACTGGAGTTTGATGGTAATAGAAGTCTCTGCTGTGTGGTTTGGCAGGTGCAGACAGATCAGTACATCCCTGAGGAAGACATCTACGGAGAGATGGATGCCATTGAGCACCAGCTGGACCAGCTAGAGCACCGTGGGGTGATTTTGGAGGAGAAACTTCGCAGCTCTGAGAATGGTGTGTGGGCTGTGCTGTCTATGGGTGTGGGGCCAGGATGGACTGTAGGGCTGCTCTGTGTCCCTGCTGGTGTTGGGGATGGAAGAGCACAAGGGGCAGGTTAGCTCTAGCTGAATGGTGACAGCATTCTGCAGCACTGGGGATGGCTCTGAATTGTCCTTTTGTTTGGCAGACAGCCCTGAGGACAGCCTGCTGGTGGACTGGTTCAAACTCATCCATGAGAAGCACATGCTGGTGCGCCACGAGTCAGAGCTCATCTACATGTAAGTGTGTGTGTGGCTGGGGCACTGATGCTGCTCTGGGAAGTCCTGGCTCAATGCTACTAAAACTGTGCTTCCAGTGCTTGCCTGGAGAAGTGAGGGAAAGAGGGCAAGCAGACAAATGCATCCAAACATATTAGCACTGACCCACTTCAAGTCAGCAGAGCATCTCCTCCAGAAAGTCCTCGAGCAGTCAGGGTTTGTTCTAGGTGGCAGCCCCCTACCCTTTTTGTCAGTCAGACCAGCATCTTGGCCAGTTTTTTCCCAGGTCACCCTGTATCTTGGGATGTTATTTTGCCTCTCTAGAGCTTTGCAGTGGTTCCCAGCAGTGCCTCCTTCTCTTGCAGCTTCAAACAGCAGAACCTGGAGCAGCGACAGGCAGATGTGGAATATGAGTTGCGTTGCCTCCTCAACAAGCCAGGTAAAGCATCACTCAGGCTACCTATGTTTTTTCCCTTGAGTTTCATCTCCCTTCTGTCTCAGTGGGTCTGAGAAGAAGAGAGGCAGATCTTAGGAGATAAGAGCACTGGAACTCTTGTCCTGTCTCATTGCTTGCCCTACCCTCATGCATCTTATCCCCGTGGAGGAGGGAGTGGAGGAGCCTGAGACTTCACGTACTGGGCTCTCCCTCTGCAGCACCACTGCTTTAGCTGGCCCTACAGCAAGTTGGGGTAGAAGGAGGTCGTAGTAGGGGGATCTCTACCCCAGGCTCCTTCAGCCATTTAATTGCCTGTTTTTCTTTGGGGTTTGGTTGAGTAGAGAAAGACTGGACTGAGGAGGACCGAGTGAGGGAGAAGGTGTTGATGCAGGAGCTGGTGACCATCATTGAGCAGAGGAATGCCATTGTGAACTGCCTGGATGAGGACCGGCAGAGGTGAGCAGTGAGGTGTGCTGGGATGAGGAGTAGGGTCTGCCTGACTCAGCACCACATGGGTGGCTCATGGGAGCATCCCAAGGTATCCCTATTTCTGAAGTCTTTCCCAGGCTTCCTGGTTCTTGTCTCCTTGAATGGCTTGTGTGGGAATAACAGGGCAGTAATGGTCCAGTAACGGATCTACACTTCCATGGCTTTTAAGCAGGAGGTTCTCTAACCTTCAGCAATACAGCAGCTGTTTTCAGGGTTGGATTGCTGACCTGTTTCTGGGTGTTTCTTTCAGGGAAGAGGAGGAGGATAAAATGTTGGAAGCTATGATTAAAAGAAAAGGTAAGAAATGGAATTTTGGAGCTTTGGTTTCACTGCTGACCTCTGCAAGGGGCAGCATAAGCCATTTGTAAAATTGTGTGCATGAGAGTGATGTTATTCTGTGTATACTCTGGAGCCTTTGCTGCAGAAGCATTAAAGTTTGGGACACAGGTGTCACCCTGTTGTCACAGAAGGAAGTGTGCATGCAGAGGAGGGCTTTATTCATTGTCCCTGTTGTCATCTGTGTGTGTACAAACCATCACCATTCTACAGTAACAACCCTCCTTTGCGACTCCAGAATTTCACAAGGAGGCTGAGACTGAAAGCAAGAAGAAGGGCAAATTCAAGCCCATGAAGGTGCTTAAACTGCTGGGCAACAAGCATGACTCCAAGAGCAAGTCGCCCAAGGAGAAAAGCTAGAGCAGAATGCCAGCAATGGGAGGGACGTGCTGCCTGACCACCCTGGCCTCCCACAGCCGGCTGCCTGCCAGGAGGGGCCTGGCTCCCTCCACTCCCCTTGCCTTTCCCCTTCACTCCACGCCAGGCACTGGCATGGTCGCCCCAGGAAGACACCGGCCCTCTGTGCCCGCAGTGGTGAGTCCAACCCAGTGCTCCCCTTCCTGAGGCTGCCGAGGAGCCTGCATTTCCCCTCTAAAGCCTCACTAGCAAGGCGGGGAGAAAATGGATTCGCTTTTCAGAAGCGTTGCCCTGTCACGTGTCCTTGTTACTGACTGAGAAGCAAGATGAGGAGTTTGGTGTTTGTGAGAATACTTGCACTAACTGTTCCCCTCCCCTACTCCCGCTCTTACTGTGACAGCTCCGTGTGCCTCCAACCTCTTGCGCCTGGCTCCCCCTTCCCTGCCTGCCCACTCTTGTCCCTTTCCTGTCCTATTTTTAACTTCAGGAGAAAAGTCTGATATTAGAATCAGGATTCTTTAGGTTTTAAATAAGTACAGTCCAGCATCACAAAGCTCTAAAGCCATAGCCAAAAAAATAACCGGGGCCCTATTTTGAGCTGTCCCCTCCCACTGAAGGCTTTTCCCCTTGAGCATTACAGGTCTGAGAGGACCCAAGGGGACAATGTACATCTGCTCGGATGTAGCCTGTGTGCCCTACTCAGGATATCTTACCCCCACTGCTGCTAAGCACCACTGCCTGCTGCCTTCAGGGGGAGGGAGAAACATTCCTTTTCTAGGCAAGGGCAGAAAAGCACAAGACTGACTTAGTGCCGGTAATGGGCAAGCCTGTGCCCCTGCTCACCAGTGCCACCCTTGAGTGGCTGGAGAGAACTGCATGGTCACAACTGACCTTTCCCCAGTTTCATCTGTATGTACTTTGAAAACATGTGAAGAGGGTTTGGCTGGTTATTTTTTATGCCTCCTTTTCTACATGAATTCAAACTTGCCCTAAAACTTTTAAAACCCTTATTTTATTTGTTGTATGTGTGCGTGTGCGTGTATGTTGGAGGAAGGAAGAGGGGAACAGCATTCTTTCAGCTTTCCCCTCTTCCTTCCATTTTTGTTTCTTGCCTTCTCCTCCAAGCTGAGGAGCTATTTATTGAGTTGTTTTGTCAGTTTGAATTAGACATTGACTTCCATGGGTGTTTGGTTGGTCAGCTGTTTGTCATGCCTTCCCATTAGCAAATTAGTCATGCCAGCCCCGAACAAACTGCTGCGCTCCCTTCCAAAAATACAGCAGGCTTTAGCCAAAACACTTTTAGAGCAGTGCCTTGCAACATGGCTGGCATAGCGTTCTGTGAAAAGATCTATTTCCCAAACCCTGAGTGACCATGGGTGAGTGGCAGCACGCCGTGCCACTTGCCACAATACCCCAGCAGGCTGATCAGGAGCAGGGGTTGGGGGGTAGGGGAGGGATCTTAATGCACAGTTCTTCTCCAAGGAGAAACAAACCTATGCTAGAGCCTGCTGTTGTGTCACTGTTGCCATAGGCTATCAGGATTGCAGCAGCCTGACACCCCTTGACCCCATGCCTGGTCAGAACCTTGATTTGGAAATTATGCTGTACTAACTCTATGACTTCCATTCATCTGGTCAGAAATAAATACTGGATTTGAAAAACAATCACAGCTTAGGTTTCTTATTCCTGGGGACAGAAATGCTGCCTTCTTATGGAGTGGCTGACGAGTATTGCTAAGAAGCAGATGATGGGAATCTTAATTTCTAGTTTCATTTTGCTGGTTTTTATGTGGGAATAAAGGGGCATCATGCTTCAGCCTGGTGAGTCAACAGCCATTTCCAGGCGCTGTGGGAAGCTGATGGCTATTCAGCATACCATGCTTTCAGGAACCAAAAAACCACAGCAAGCCTGCTGCAAAGATCAACATGCTCCAGGCTGAAATCCCCTCTCCCCAACCCCCCATGCTGCAGCTGTGTTCCTGAGCGCCTGCCCAGTTCAGCTGCTGCTGAGAAGTCTGCTGATGCAGTCATGCTGACCTGCAATAATGTTGGAGGCTCACATTTGTGCAAGGCCAGGCGACTGCATCTTCCTCCTCACATGTGTCAACACAGCCATTCCCAGGCTCACGTGGACTGGAGTGGGTTGTAGATGTGGGTGGTGATGTGTTTGCAGTGTACTGCCACCATAAACCTCTGCCTCTGGGTAGATGGAGGAGAAGGGGTGATGTTTTCAGCTGTGCAGAGTGCTGTACTCTGAAACAATGCAGACTCAGAAGGAGACTCTTCTTTGTTGTGCTTTAATAGCTGCTACTGTGTTTTCATCTATTTAAGGTTGTAAAGTGTGAAGGGATCCAGAGCATGGGGAGGATTTATAGCAGCTTGCTTCTATTACAAGCTGTGTGCAAATCGTTCCTGCCTTCTGGCTTTAGGCAACAGGTCACACTGCCCCCTCTTCAGGGGAACCACAAGGAGATGGGCAAGGCACAGGCCTTGAGACACCAATGCCCAGGGCCTGGGAGAAGAGTTGGGAACAAACTGCACTTGTGTTTTTTCCCTTGCCTAGTCGAGGACACCAGATTTGTTCCCACTAGGAAAGTCTTTTGTCACGATCTCTTTCACTTCCTCACTTCTCTTCTTGTCAATGATCTCCATCTCCCGTATTTTCTGTGAAGCACAAAGGGGAAGGGCTGAGTGAAAATGCCAGGAGTAGTAGTTTGTTTTTTTTTTCCCCTCTCCTTTTTTCTTTTGTCAGCTCCAGGAACAAAGGTTCTCCTTCCCTGATGAAGTTACATGTAGATGTGGAAAGAAAGGCTGAAAATCACACTACCTGATTTCTCAAACTCATGCCTGCTTTTAGCTGCAAAAGCAAACTCTCCCCACCTATTTCCCCCTTGGCTGTCAGAGGGAGACTGCTTGAAAGATTCTGACATGGGTGATGCCCTCAAGGCACAGTGTGGGACCATTGTTGCCAAGAATCTTACATACCTGTGAGATTTCAGTGAAGATAATTCCCTGATACTTCTTGCCCTGTCCTAGGGCTTCCATCTCTGCCAGAAACTCCCTCCTCTCCCGAACTTCATTCACCACTGACAGACAAGAGAAAACACTGTGGAAACAGGATCCAGCCAAAAGGCAAGAAAACACCTTTCCATCTGGCTGTGAGGCCTCAAGCCCTAGTTCTGCTGGAACAGTGGCCCCACAAGACAGGAATGGTATCTATTCTGATACCTACACATCTTGCCCAGGCCACCAAAACACTCTGACAGTCCCTTACATTTTTGTGGAAGCCCTTCTCCCCTGCACAGCTCCCTTCCACATCCCGCTTTTCTTTGTAATAGACAATTTGTACAGGCAATTCTCATTATTAGGCTGCTGTCAATCTGTGCTGCCCTGGTTAAGGAAGAGCTGGCTGAAGTGCTCACATACATAGGAGATTCATGTACAGAGACAGATAGGCCAGAGCTGCGTTATCCCAGAATACTCTGCAAGCCAAAGTACACCACTGCTAAAATCCTGCTCTGCATTTAAGCTCTACTTCTGTGACTGCACTGATCTTGGAGTCAAAGTAAACAGGCCCAGGCCACCCCTGTGCCTTCCTCCAGATCACACAGAGACATACGTTCTTCAAAGCGGTCAAGCTCAGGCATCTCCTCTTCCTTTGTCTGAACCAGTTTCTGTTTTGCTCGGTGCTCCACCACATCCTTCCCAGTTGCTAAGATATTTTGGAGCCTCTGCTTCTCCTTTTCCAAATCTCCTGTGAACGCCATGGATAAAAATGAATTGTTAGCAGTGTGTCCCCTCAGCAAGGAGCTGCCTGCCCTGCTTTGCTGCTAATGGCAGAGAAAGCATGATGTAAGTGATGGTGCAGCCCCAGACTGAACCATGCTACACATAGTAAAGGGCTAACCAATCTGACCTCTGAAGTTCCACCCATGTTTACAAGGTAGAAAATTATATAGTACACTCTTGCTACACAAGGTTATAGGTGACTGTCCCCATAGTCAGCAGGCAGAACTCTGTGAGCATTTGCAGCAGGCGCTCCCTCAGAGGCCTCTTTTTTAAGCATCTTTGAAGAAGAAAGCTTAAAGAATAATTAAGAATACTCCCTGTATAATCAATGAACATTAAGATGCTATAATTACAAAATAAACAAGAGAGTTGGGCAAAGCAGATTACGATAACAAAAAGAGAATAGATAGAAAGCTTACGTGTATTCTGGGCTCACTTAAAAAACTCCAGCAAAGTGGATCTCCAGAAGAGATCCTTTCCCCCTGGTAGCCAGCTCTTAATTAGGTCTAGGAGAGATGGAGCCAGGCTCCACCCCTTCCGGCAGCACAGGTGAATTGCCTTCAACTGTGCTCCTGTGGCTGACTCATTGCTCACCTCAGGTGATCAATCAGAGGTTCAGTCTGTGGCTCAGCAGTTCCCATACACTCCCTAAGGGTGCTGAAGTGTTAGACACAAGCGAAAGAGAAGAACTGGGCAGCACAATTTATTTATCTGCAATGCTTGCTTACTTACGCCTTGCCTGTGGCTTGAATTTCTCTCGGGTGTAGGCATCTCCTGCCCGGCAGACCTCAGCAGGCCGAAGATGGGGTTTAGCTGACAGCTTGCTTGGCTGATGGCATGGTGGGAAGGAAGCAGGAGGTGAGGGCACTGGTTCTTGGCTGGAGGTGGGGTGGCACTGGAGGGGCAGAGAATCTCCCCCTAGAGAACAAACCCAACATACTGATGTCAGACAGAGGAGTCTGAGCAAGTGGCCCCAGCCTACTGCCAGCAGAAGATCATAAAATCATAGAATGGCTTAAGTTGGAAGGGACCTTAGAGACCACCCAGTTCCAAGCCCCTGTCATTGGTAGGTCTTCCATCCACCAGGTCAAGCTGCCCAGGGCCATCCAATTTGGCCTTCAGCACCTCCAGGGATGGGGTGCCCACAGCTTCTCTAGGCAGCCTGTGCCAGCACCTCACCGCCCAGTGAAGAATTTCTTCCCAATACCTAAACCAAATTTCCCCTCTTTTAGTTTAAAGCCATTCCCCCCTGTCCTATCACCATTATACAGTGTAAAAAGTCTGTCTCCATCTTTCTTGTAAGCTTCCCTCAAGTACTGGAAGGCTGCAGTGAGGTCTCCCCAGAGCCTTCTCTTCTGCCTGCCAAAACAGCTCCCCAAGCCTGTCTTCACAGGATAGGTGCTCCAGCCCTCTGAGCATCCTTGTGGCTTTCCTCTGGACCCATTCCAACAGCTCCATATCCTTCTTGTGTTAGGGGCCCCAGGCCTGGACACAGAACTCCAGATGGGGTCTTACAAGGGCAGAGCAGAAGGTGACAGTCACCTCCCTTCGCCCTTCTTGCCACCCTTCTTTTGATGCGGCCCAGGACGCGGGTGACCTTCCAGGCTGCGAATCCTGGTTCCACAGAAACCTCACACCATCACATCAAGTCCCTTGAGGACATCTCAATGAGCACCCACAAGAAACATGGAGAGAACAGGACGCATCCCCCCAACCAAGCAGAAGGTGAATGCCATCCCTCAGTGCAAGCAGCAGAAGCCATTCACCGCAGTGCTGGGGAAGGAGCTGCAGATGGGCACCACTCACGCCTCAGGCAGTCCATCAGGCATCGCCTCTGGAAACTCGTCAGCTTCGACTCCTCCATCAGGGCTAAAAAACAGCAGCTACGTGTCACCACACAGCCCAATGGGCTCCCCGGGCCCCACAGCGCCCAGGACAGAAGCCAGCCTGGGGGGAAACGCACTTACCAGACTGCTCCACATTGCAACCTTCCCCGCGTTCCCGGGGCCTTCCCTCCCTCCCGCAAAACCCGTTACCTCTCAGCACCTCCCGGGTCTCGGGGCTGTACCGGGCTCTGCCTCTTCCCGCTGATCTCCTTCCCGTCGACGAGGCCATGGTTGGTGGCGACGTTGGGAGAAGCAGCTGAGATCGGGGCGGGCAGAACGGCGTCCCGTCTCCGCGGCAACGGCGCCGCCGGGCTACTTCCGGAAAACGTTGCGTCACGTGTCGGGCGACCGGAAGTGAATCGTACTTCCGCCGGGGAGAAAGGGAGCAAGATGTCGGACAACGAGGACAAGTGAGAGCGGGGCTGGGGCGGTGTGAGGGCTGGGATCAAGGCCTGGGCCTACCGCCGGCTTCAACACTAAGCCCAGGCCTGGGTCCTGTCCCTCGGCCTTGGCGCATTGTGCGATGTGTGCTTGCCTCTCTCCCGCAGCTTTGATGGGGATGACTTCGATGATGTGGAGGAAGACGAGGGGCTGGATGATCTGGAGAACGTAGAGGAGGTGGGTGCTCTGCAGAACCCGGCCGGCTGGCCTGCTGCTGGGCTTTCAGTCGACCTCTAACGGTGCTGTGCTTTTCCCAGGAGGGACAGGAGAACGTGGAAATCCTCCCCTCCGGAGAGCGACAGGCAGCGAACCAGAAGCGCATCACCACCCCCTACATGACCAAGTACGAGCGAGCCAGAGTTCTGGGCACGCGTGCCCTCCAAATTGCGTGAGTATTCTTATCTGTATCCCGGCCATCCCTACACATCCCTATTGTAGGACTGCGTTCTTCTAACGTCTCTCCCTGTTAAAGCTCTTTCCTTTCTTCCTAAAACCTCATGTGATCCTTTGCCTGGCAGTTGAGCTTGGGAATCACCATCTCTGTCAACAGCGAAAAGCAATACTGCAAGCTGTTAGTCACATGTGAATTCTGAGTCTCACCCCAGCTGACACTGTGGGTTTTGTACCTATAAAACAAGATGCTCACATGCTCTAATGAGCTTGGAGGTCACAGGCAAACAGAGTGGGTAATGTGGCATTGTGATTCTGGTTTCTGCCTTTCATAAGGCAGCCAGCATGAGCTGGGAGGCTCGGAACTACTTTTACAGATTTCAGTTTTGAGGAAGGGATACTGTATAATATCATTAATTGTTATCACAAGGCTGTAAAAACTCTAGGAATGGCATAACCTGAAGTTTGAAGCGTATGATTTTACTGTGGCAAACTGTACATTTGCTAAGTATTTGGAATAGTGAAGCATCACTTCTAATAGTAATAACATTTAAATTCTCTTTTAAGTACTGTTAAGGCTAGCTCCCCTCAAATTTTTCCTTTTACCTGACCAGATCTGTTTTAATATTGCATGCCAGAAAGTTTTGTGATATATATATTTTTTTTTTAAGTGCCCTGTAGGTGAGATTATTGGACTGTGTTGAAATTGTGCTGAAAGGAGTTTTCTGAGTTTATCTTAGCTGCATCCACCCTGAAAATTATGCTGATCTGACTGATGAGCTTCTAAATGATCTTTGCTTAATGGTCGCTTTGCTGAGCTATTCTTTGCCCGGTTATTACTCCAGAAAGGTATTCTGTGTGTGTTCTTTCAACTGGTGGTAGGCCAAAAGAATGGAAGAGATGAAATGGGCCAGTGCCAGACGTTTCATCCAAAACACTGGTGCCTGGTCTGTTTCACTTCCATGTTCTGCTTATGGTGTTGACTCTAGGCCAGCAGCAGCCCCCCAGTGGCCTTACACACACATAACGTGAATTTCTGTTGCTTCTGCTGCTACCTGAGACAGATAGTTGTCAACTGTGCTTGCTCTACTGTTACAGCCCTTATCAAAATGCATTTTTTTTTCCCTCTAGAGATAGAGTGCATCGTAAATCTAACCCTTCATTGTCCTTTGAAGAAAGCCTTGAAGATGTGAGCAAGTCAGATGCCCATTTTATAGTGTTTCAACTCTTTATTTTTATAGACCTACTCTTATTTTCATGTTTAAGTACAGCAAAGTGAGACTAGACAGGTGTGGATCTGACCAGCACTCAAGTCCCAGCTGATTAGCAGAGGATGAGGGGTGGATTAGGAACATTCAAAAGAAAACTCAGTCCATAGCTGCTTGGGGAAAACCTTCTTCCCAGAGTGGATAAGAGTGCAGTATGCAGTTGTGTGCTTAGCTGTCCCTTCTGTCTTTCTGTGCATTCTTCCTGTGTTCTCTCAAATGGTTGTTGATGTTTGTCCCAGGATGTGTGCACCTGTGATGGTGGAATTGGAAGGAGAGACAGACCCGTTGCTGATTGCCATGAAAGAACTCAAGTAAGTCCCAGCCTTTGGCAGTGTATGTATTGTTTTCTGTAAAGCAAGCAATCCTCTGCTTATCTCAGCACTTAGCAACTTATTCCATGCATTTTATTCCAAGACAACCTTCTTTTTCATTATCAACAGGGAATATTGCAGTTGACTTCTGCTTTCCCACCTTGCACCTTCTCCACAGCTGCTCACTTCAATCCCAGGAGTTCTTGCAAACTCCTAATGATGAGCAGTGCTCTGACCTCTTGTATATCAGCCGTTTCTATGATGAGAACCCAAGATCCCCGTAAGGAATCAATTTAATTCCCTGAAAGGAATCTATTTGAAGCAGCCTTCTGAGCAGACCTGTGTTCAAATGAATTGCTGGCTTAAATAAACAAAATTAGGGTCAGCTTGGTGATGTGGAGACTGATAAGAATGTTGTTTCACTGCACCCTTTGATACTTGGCTTATTGTGCTAGCAGGAAATGCACCTCTTGCTTACGGAGAGATTCCTCTTCTGTCACTGAACATGTAGTTTCTGAATCACTACTTAGAGGCCCACAGCAGAGTAGCCCACGTTTTGCCAGTATGGTCAGCAGATTACTGTGTCACAGGCAGGTATCCTTCACCAGAGTAACTGGATTATTTTACTTACTAATTCCCGTTCTTGAATTGATTTGTCCCTCTGCTCAGAGCATTGCAGTTGCTTTTGCAGACTTTATATCTATTACAGCTCCCTTTATCGTTGCCAAAACCTCTATGGGTTGTGTTCCAGTCAGATCTCCCAAGTTCAGCCTAAGTTGGTTCAGGTCACCACCTGAGTGTGTATTCTAGAAAGCAGTCAGGGTATGACACAAAATACAGTGGCATCCTGTGCTGTGACAGAATTAAATTGCAATTCTTGGCATGAGGAAGCTGCTTTTGGAAAAACAGCAGCTCTGGATGTGATCATTAAAGCACTCTGTTACTTTTCAGGTCTGATATGGTTCTGAACCTGATCCTCTGGTTAGATTCTGGACCATCTAATTATGTTTTGCTCTTAAATCTGCTTCCACTAAGTCAAATTGTATTCAGTGCTTTCTTGCTTTCCAATTGGAACTGCTGTTAGCAGATGCTGTGTTCCTGTCAGTCTTTGATTGTTCCGAGACTTAAGATGCTCAGTGCTTTGCACCTACAAGGGAGAATTTTGTTGAGACTTTCCAAATCACCGGTACTACATAGGTCTACCATGAGCTTCCTGAAGTCAGCAGTGCCATTGCCTGCTGAAATGGCATAGTGAAGGCTGTGGCATTTCTATTCACCTCTCTCTCCTCCCTCCAGAGCACGCAAGATTCCTATCATCATCCGCCGTTACCTGCCTGATGGGAGCTATGAGGACTGGGGTGTGGATGAGCTAATTATCACAGACTGATCGGCCTCTGGCTGTTGCTTTTGATTCTTTCCTTCTCCAGCAGATGTTTCTATTTTTGTTTATATTTGTATAAATAAATTATAAATTCTTTCTCCTGTATGCTGACTTGGTTGTTACCATTTCATTCTGTGTCAGTCTGCATGGGCCCTATTTATTAATACTAGCGAGTCAAGCACTATGCTTTCATTGCAGCCTTTTTTCCAACTGAGCAGCCCATACGTTTTATCTGGGGTAAAGAGTACAGTAACTGCCTCCACCACAGCTCCTCCCTGGTTATAGGACCAACAGCCAATTAAAGGGCCGTTGTACAGAAGTGATCTTGCAGGTACTTTGGCTTCAGAAAGATTCCAGCCCTTCTTAAAACAGGAGCGCTGAGACACTTCCATTCCTTCTCCTTAGACAGTTGGGCCTTTGTGCCCTGAGCAGGTTGCTGTGGAAACCTCCAATTTCCTCTCTGGCCAGTGCTGGCTGTGGGTCTTCTCAGGAGTATCGCAGAGCAGCTCTCATCAAATCACCTATTGTTTCCCTGCTCCTGCTGCTTATCAGTGATGGGGATCCCCTTTCAGTGGCACTGCCCCAGCCGGAAGCACAGTCGCCAGTGACAGCCATACTAGCTCAGCAGTTGTAGGTTAAATTGCCACTCTTGCCACTCGTGCTGCTGTTCTCTGCTGTACAGTGGAGCTGGTGGTCCTTTGTGCATGGGTTCTCTCAAGGCATCTCACTTACATGAACACCAGAAGCTCTTGCAGTGGCACAGCAATAGTTAAATTCTGGAGTCCTTTTCTGTAATCTGTAGCGTGATGACAGATTGGTGATTTTTCCCATTAAGGTCCCTTCATTCTCACTTCTGATGTGCAAGGAAAAGAAAAATGCAGCCCCTTGCTGAAATCAAAAAGTTAGGTGGATGCATTAAAATCTGGGAGGGCTTCCAGCCAGCTACTGCTTGGTTTTCGTGTCTTAATCGTCTCTGCTCCCAGGTTCTTCCTCTGAGCTCTGGAGCAGAACACTGTCTCTGTAGCAGGTGATCTTATTAAAAAATGCACCTGTTGTTTCTGCTTTACATTGTTTTTCTCTTTGCAGAGCTTCGGGGAGGATTTTTCCGCCTAGTTTGTGCTTGTTTGAAGCATGCATTCTTTGTGCTGTATGTGTGGATCTGTATCCCAACGGGAGTGTGAATGCACCTGCCTGGGAACTTAGCTCATATAACCAGCCATGTATGTCATCCTCTTACTGCTCCCTGTAAGAATACCCTCCCATCCACCCTTCCTTTGTTGGTTTGTGCAGGGATGCAGTGTGAGCAGGAGGGGGAGGCAAGAATGCAAGAGTAGAGTGGGTCTGTGGGCAAAAAGCTCAGAGGGGGGGATATGGAGATGCCTGCAGGTGTGGGAAGGGGATTGACCCCAGGGAATGCAAGTGCTTCCTGATCCAGGCCATCCTTACTAAGAAAAGGTTAATTTGCAGTACTGTGGCCTTCAGCCTTCTCCCCCCACCCTCTGTGGAATCCTTTAATCACGTTGGTGTGGTGAAATTTCAGCCCTGAAATGGTGCCTTTGTGCAATCGTTCTGGCGTCCGCCATGGAGCGCGGGGGTCGTTTTCTTGTCCTTTTTTTTTTTAATTTTTAAATGGCTTCTTTGTTCCCTGCCCGCCTCCCCTCCCCAGCCTTGCATCTGTATCAGATACGATTAAAGGGATAGGGAAGGATGCTGGGCCAGCTCCTTCTAGGCTGCAGGAGGATTGGTTAACCCCTCTGTTACCAGCGGTGTTCTACTTGTGGGGGCACTCTTGGATGAGAGGAGACGTCCCCTTCCACTGGAGAATGGTTGATGTGGAGCCCTCTTGCTTTCTTTGTTTGAAGAGCTGGAAAAGGGTACGTGTGTATGGTTAAGTACTTTCTTCTACCAGTCTTCTGTTCACCCACACTGTTGCCTTTCTTCTACTCCTGTGATCAGCTCTCCTGCTCTAGCTCTGCCATGGCTCCCTTTATCCCCACCACATGAATCTGCTCAGCGGTGCAATAGTTTCCTAGAGGCCACAGTTTGGGGTAGAGATTTCTCCTCTCCACTGTGTGGTCATAGTCCTATTTTGCATGGAATTATTCAGATTGGAATCACTGTTTTTAGATGTCATTAAGCCATCGGCCCTATAAGGACCACATCCAAACTGTGCGCAGTGCTCTGCATTTTCTAGACCTTCTGCTTATTCTACTCACCTATTAAGTGTTCAGTGAAGATAAACTCACAGAATAGATCATGCTTTGAAGTCTTGGAACCTATTTTGTAATTTTTGTGGAGTTTTTTTATTCAGTGTAATTCTGTCTTGTTCCCATTGACCTTGAGAGATGTTCTCAGGCAGACCAATATCCCCTGCACGTATTCTTTCCTCAACTCTTCAGAACTCGTAGGATCTGATGACCAACATGTTTTCTTTCAACAGTAGGTTGCATACCTCTATTCTCGACCATACTCTGTATGTGTGTATTTATGTTCTTACCTCTGGAAAACAAGAGGAGTTGAGTTTCTACAAAGAAACAAACGGTTGCTTTCCAAAATACATCAGAAATCAATACATCAGAGTATCATCTAGAGATGAGGAACCGAGAGGAGAAACTCTGCACTCCTGTAGATAATTAATAATGAAGATACAGAAATTCTTGGGTGAAGTACATGCGAGTAGTGCTCTTCTTCATGGCATGGGCTGAGTTTTAGCTTAGGAACAGCAACCCATGGAAGAAATGACTGGAGTTGGCTTATGAACAGGTGAGTTTCGTCTCCATGAAAGAGCACAGTAAGCCAGTTGAAGCTGTGGCTGTGTCCTCTGAATGATGGGCCAAGGAGAGCCATTCATGGGATCTGTGTGGTGGTGTGGTGACGTGACAGATTTACTGGAGGGAAAAAATCAAAGACTTTCAAGAAGGCAGTGAAAAAAAAATAAATCCAGAGACATGAAAATGAAACTTTTAAGTTTATTATTCCATATGTTTAATGCAGAGTTAATGGTGCTAGGGCAGCATAGAGACTGGGGAAAGGGAGCAGGGGGAGGAAGGTGCTACTTGCATAAATAAGAGGACAGGGCTCAAATAGGTTACATGCGTTCAGGGAACAAACATTCTATGTGATCTCTTCAGACACCACAAGAAGTCATCCATAGCTAAAGGAGGTGGGAAGGACATCTGACATCATATCAACGGAGGGAAACAGTGACACGAATCACAGTCCACGTTCGGTTGAAGTATTTTATCTTTCTAGACGGAATTACCCGTTAGGAGGTCCCACAACACATCTCTGTGATCAGTTGTCAGGAGTCACTTTTTCCTGCAGCAGCTTCTCGGCCAGTTCACTCCCTGGCAGAACGCACCACCCAGTCCTGGAGGTGACAAAGGAGAATTAAGTAGGCTGTCCTCAGGAGATGGGCTGAACAAAAAGGGTCGATCTGACTGCAAGAGCTGCTTGTTTCCAGCTTGAAACCCAGAGGTGAAAATGAGTTCTGCACATAAGTAGTGGTTTTTTCTTTGTAGTCATCCAATATTGGGTGCATATCTACCTTGCTTATATCCACAAGAGTATCTTTCCATCCTGAGCAAAAGTAGGAGGGAGGTGCTGACAGATTGCAATAACGTGATGAACAAATGAGCAGTGATGTACACACCATTGGCCTGAGTTTGGAGCAGTGCTCAGAGCGAGTATTGGATTATTGCAGCTACGTCTGGGTGTTGGCAAGTGCATCGTAGCTTTCTTGGTGCCTTCACGTTTTCAGCAGACACAGTCAAATGCTGGAGGAGCAAGGACCTGGTTTGCTGAGAGATTGTTGGGATACTGAAGAGATTGGGAAGGACTGAGATGCCCAGAAATCTGAATCACAAATGAATGATAGAAATTAAATTGCAAGAAGAGAGGATTCACCCACAGCACCTGAATGATTCACAAATCCTTCCCCACCTCTCCTCAACTCCTTACACAAACACGCATACACACATACAGGCTATGATATGAGGCTAAGGCTGACAGTGCGTTCCTGAACCCTCCGCACTGTTCAGTCAAGCCTTATAAAATCCATGCAGGAAGGAGTATGGGATTAAACAGATGGGACAGAGGGAAGAGGTGGGGAGAAAAGCTATAGCGTGCAGCTGTGGAAATCAGCAGGGAGGCAAGCATAAGTTGGTCTTCCAGCAGGGATCAAGATTCATGCGTGTGTGAATCTTAGGCAGGACTGCTGCACAACACTGATACAAGGAAGCCGGCCATGCCGTCCTCCCAACTCCTCCTCCCATGACATGTTCACCAAGGCTGAGCAAGCACCCTTCACCCGCAGCAGCTGACAAAGAGTTTTGACAAGAGGCCTTTTGGAAACACTTGCTAATTTGCTGGAGGAGGTTGAGGAGGGGAAGGAAAGGACAGTCTCTCTCCTCTTACAGTCCAGGGTGCGCACAACGAAGCCCACCACAGACCCGTCACTCCATGTCTTGAGTCTTCCTCATCTAGAAGGCCAATAAGGTGTTGCAAGCCAGTTGTGTGGCCTGCGTGAAATCGGTACAGGGCGAAAGGACGAAAAACCTTCCTGTAGGCGGGCGAGCCAGCGATAGCCGGGGTCAGGAAAGGCGCTTCCAGATACTCAGTGGGTTCTGGTGGCTGGATGGTGGCACTGAGTGACCTCGGAGTTCGGAGGCTCTTCTGCCTGTGCGGATTCTTCGGAGCCTTTCCGTCGCTGCTTTGGTCACTGTTCCCCATTCCCTATGGTCTGGAGAGAGTCGTATACACAGGCTGTTCCCAATGTGTGGGACTATGAGACTGTGGCACGGAGGGTGTGGGGTCAGAGATGGCAGTGTAAAGAGGACGCTGGGAAGGTCCCATATAGGAGAAGGCAGAGTAGAGGCCGGAGGCTTGGCTGGAGTGGCTGTAGTAGGGTCCCGAGGGCTGGTGATCAGGATAGTCAAACTGGGGCCTGGAGATGGAGGGAAAGGCCGAACCGTAGTGGGGCAGACTCAGGGATGTGTAAGCTATCTGGGAGGTGGAGGGTTGATCGGTGTAATGACCTCCAGGGGCAGACCCCTCCGTTTTCACCTGGGCCTTGGAGTCCACCACTGGTGATGTGGTGGCGGACAAGGAGACTCCATGCTGCTTGGAGATCCAGGCTGAGTGTCCACTGGCCGCAGCCAGGGCGCTCCCAAGACCATAGCCAGCGGCCGCTGCGTAGCCCCCAACATGGCCTGGGTGGCCGGCGTGTCCGTTGGGTGGCAGGTATTGGTCGAATTCGTTGACATCAAAGGTCTCCATGTTGGACATCACTTCATGGCTGATCTCCCCGATGTCCACGTTGCCGAAGTCAATGTGTGGCTTTCCCCCTTCCCCTAGGGAACGCCCTTCTCGCTTGGAGTCAGCTTTGCCTGCCTGCAGCTCGGTCTTAGGGGTGGTGGGAGGAGTGGGAGGGCCGTGGCTCTGACCTGCGGTGTGAAAAACATTTTGAGGAGGAAAGAAAGACAAGAATTGAGTTACTGCTTTACACCTGGATGGCAGCACACATCAACTCTGCTCCTCCCAGTAAGCCATGATAGGTAAGGAATGATATCTATCCAACCTGACCGGAGGAATGCAAGTGCTCTGGAAACAAGGGCCTGTCACTATACCACTGACTCCAACAGTGTTTGTCGGGTCATGAGCAATGTGAGACATATCCCTAAGGTGATGGCTTGTTTTCTTGAGCTTCCCAGATTGTTGTCACCTACCAGTTTGTTCATGGAGCCATGGGACTCACCTGAAGAGTGCTCCGGGTGCCCATCGGACATGGGTGACCCTTCCCCAGGATGCCTGTGGTCCAGATGGGTGTTCTTGTAGTGAGCCTGGATAGCAGCAGCCCCGCCAGCCTCCCCCTCCACCTGGCCCTCGCCCTCGCCCTGCGTGGCCTTGCCATTTTTCCGCCTCCGTGGCTGGTATTTGTAGTCGGGGTGGTCCTTCTTGTGCTGCATCCTCAGCCGCTCGGCCTCTTCAATAAAAGGACGCTTATCACTTTCGTTCAGCAGCCTGCAGGGCCAAAATGGTAAAAAACAGGGGAAGGAGAGGGGCAGGAACATCAGAAAAAGAATCACAGTATCCCAATTAAGCTCAACAAACTAACTTATCTTTTAGTTTCAACCCCAAAGGAAAATTTATGGCTCTACTGAGCACAAATGACAGTGATTGGTGTTGGCAGCTGTAGGTTGAAGCACAAATATCCAGCTCTTCTTACTGCAAAAAAAACAAATTCTATGTCACTAGACCTTGTAGAAATAGATGAATCATGGTCTCTGGATAAAAGATGTACAAATGTGAGGTCCTTCTCTGTTCTCCTGCCTGATCATGAGCTCCTGTGGGTAAGATAGAATCTCCAAAGAAACCATGCAACATGCGGACAGGACAGCTCAGAGAAAACAGCTTCATTGCTCAAGGCTCTAACAGATCTCCACTTGGAAACACTTGAGTTTAATTTTACCATTTTCCCCTCAAATATTCTTGTGACTCAAAGTCATCCTACTTCTGATCAGAGAGCAGCGCTCTCAAAAGGGACCCGTCTCGTTGAACTACTGCTGGGCACACAAATGGCAAAATATTTCACATTTAGGAGATACTCACCCCTTTTTTCTCCCAACAAAAGAATTGCCTGGGGATGGGGATGAGCCAGCATCTTGGTACTCCTTAAGTCTTTAGCTTAAAATGTAACTTATTCTGATCAATTGAAAGCATTGTCATAGATAGAAAGACCTGGATTGATCTGAAAAATTGAAGGTGAGAGAGAAGGAGTACACAGGTAGAGCTGCAGAGGAGGGTGAAAGGCTTCAGCAGCCAGCGACTGGTTTTTGAGCACCTTCTGCCCATCAGTCAGGTGTGTGGCGGTCTGCAGCCCATTACAGTGCTGACCTGGGTTCACTCCAGGCAGCCTGAGAAGGTCACGGCCGCACACTGCATTCCTCCACCTCCTTAATCCTGCAGCTTAAAGCAACTGAGCCACTGTGAATCCAACACCAGCTTTTCTCTTCCCCTCCCACCACTCTACACCATGCTCACAGCTCCAGGAGGGCTCTAATCCCTCTGCCAGTGCTGCTCCAATCTGCCCTCCATGGTGTCAAAAGGACAGCCTGTCCAAGGCATTGAGGACTGGGAGACAACTTCACCTCATCCTTGAAAACAACCCTTCTCCATGGGAGACAAAGAAGAGACAGTCCAGTTGGATATCAGGAAAAGGTTCTTCACCATAAGGCGATCAGGCCCTGGAACAGGCTCCTCAGGGGAATGCTCACGGCACCAATCTTACTGGAGTACAAGAAGTGTCTGGACAGTACTCTCAGACATATGGTCTAATTTTTGGGTGGTCCTGTGTGGAGCCAGCAGTTGGACTCGATGGTCCTTTATGGGTCCCTTCCAACTCAGGGTATTCTATGATTCTATGAAAGGAGAGAATGGAGGCAAACTGCACCCTTACAACACTTCTCTACATGGCAGCTGGGCTCACGCTTCTTTACTCCCAACACAGGTAGTGCTAAAACTAATAAGATGGCTGGAAATGGAAGGTCTCATTTTACATAGGTACCGCTTGGAGGAAGAGGCTGGATGTTGGACAGAGGAGATGAGCAGGAGACCGAAGCTCAGCCTTGCGTATCTGCCTCCTGGAAAAAGTCACTTGAGTCTGCTCAGAAGCCAGCTGCCTGCCCTCTGTTGGTGCCTGGACTCCTCACCTCCTCTCTTCTGGCCAGCAGCCTGCTGGCAGCGCTGCCAGCGGGACAGCGGGAAGTCTACTCCCTGTGCCTTTGTCTTCTCCTTCCCCAGCCTACCTGCTCCCTCCTCCCTCTCACTGGGATCAGAGCTCAAATCGGCTTTAGCAAAGTGAAACTGGTGCGAGCAGGCAAAGGCCAGGAGATTTGGGGGATTTGGATTTCACTTGTTTCCTGCCCTCCCCCTCTGCCCCCCACACTCCTCCATCGACAATGCAAAGGAATCTCGCATGGGCAGAGAACATATGGATCACGGAGCAAAGCCCTCATGGGGCTTAACACAGCCACCTCCACTCAGCCCAACACCGAGCACTCACTCACCCCTTTGGCACCCCACTCTGGAGGAGAAAGAGGAGCCAAAGTCCTCCCTCCCATCTTTCCCATCTTTCCCTTCCACCACTTGGCATCATGCCGCGCTGCCACAGCTTGACCCCATCCCAGGGCTCAGCTGCCAATGAGTCAGGGCGGTGGGGATGGGATCTCCTGGTGCACGGCCAGGGATGGTTGGTCCTACACGTCCACAGCCCTGGAGCTCATGGGCATGACCCCATCCCTGGCTCTTTGCCTTGGTGAGGTGCAGGAAATGAGGGAGCTGCCACTCCCATACAAAGATCTCTTCATAGGCTCTCCGTGCTGCTCCCCGCAGCCCCACTGTACCCCTTCTTCCCAACTCCCGTCTGGTTTTGGCTCCAGAGTTGTTGCTGGCCGGCGCGTTGGCTTAGAGTCACATCACACCGACATTTTCAGCAGCCTGCCTCCATTTGAGAGCTGCTCCTAACCTGCCCCAGGGAAGGAAAGCAGCCAAGGCGAGCTTTCATCAAGCATGGAAACCCTCCCTTCCCCTCCTCCTCTCCTTGTCCTCACCCTCCATTTTAGCACACTCACTTCTTCATCTGCATCCTTTGCATCCTAAGTGGGCAAACTGAGGAAGGTGAAGGGGACCATAACTCCTTCCCCTTCAACCTCCTCAGGAGACGTTTTGTCCACACGGTAGGGATGCAGCAAGCATACTACTAGGATACTGGACGAGTCTTGAAGAGGATTTTCCAGGCTCTGCCATCCCTACCAATCGCTGATCAATGGCACTTGGCTTAAAGGTCTGCAGGCAGTCTCTGTGCTCACCAGCTCTCATTCCCTGCACTGCTAATGCAGCCCCTAATTGTATAAGCTCGCAGCAGCCTGTGTAGAAATAGAATTTGTCACCTACACTGATTCACAGACAGTATACCTTCAGTGCATGAGGAACCTATGGAGAGCAACCCAACTGCACTATGGCTGAGAATCCTGGCTCAGGGCTGCAGCCCTGGTAACCTTCAGGACCGATTCCTTGGGCTTTGGTTGGCTGATTCTTGTCCCTAGCCCCACAGAAGGGCACACGTGTGCCATCCTGGCTAGCTCAGATGCCAGCCCTGTGGCAATACCCATAACCCAGTCAGTACAGTCTCGTATGGGCTGGCACAGCTTGGAGAGCTGCATTTGCCCTAGCAGCAAAGATGTGGGAAGGAGTTGTGTCCCAGTAAAGGAAAAATATCTTGAAATAACACTTTGGGAACAAAACAGGGTAGATTTGGACAGCACCAGAAGGTGCTGGGAAGCAGAGAAATGGGGGCAAAGTATGAAGAAGGTGATCGGTTCATAAAGAAACAAATGGAAGAGGACTCCAAGGTGTGGATGGGTGGGAACGGCTGTCCCTGATGGGGACAACAGATGCTGGGAGGGATAGACAAAACCAGTGGGCTACCAGAGTGAAGGGGAAAGAGCCGTCCAGACCTGAGAGCTATGGGTCCAAGCTTCACTTGAGGTCAGAGGCTAGTAGCAGAGCCCAAGGATGGAGCAGCAAGTGGGGTAGAGGAAAGGAAAGGCAGTGGGGAACAAAGTAGGATGAAGTGAAAAAGCATCAGAGATGTTTGCCTTTGACTACCTAAAGAAATCCCCTTGCTTGAGTTATAGAACACATTAGTGGGCTGGGGTAAACAAGTGGATGCAGCACAGGGAGAAAACAGTGCCTAAGGGCCCAGTTCTTCCTTGTGCACCAGGAGGTTTGGAGTCAGGAGGAGACCTGCTGGCCACGGCATGTTTTGGAAAAATGTCTTGTGGCCCATCAGAAGTACAAATCTTCTTCTCATACAGTGCTGTCAGGGCAGAAAAGGGAATGAGAGTCCCTTCACAGTGGGCTGATGGCCATGATGTGCATTGGTTGGTACAAGGCAAGGGGGTGACACTGTGGGGGGCTAGCAGCAGAAAGTTTAACAGGTTGATGGCATTACTGTTATAGACAGCCTCATGAGGAGAAAGTGGGTTGGCCATCATGGCACTCATAAGCCACACTATACAGGGTCTCTCCTTGCCTATCTTTCCCCTCTGATAACCTCACTGCACTTGCACAGCCTGCCAATACCAGGACCACCTTGGGAAGGATGGGAGGGGGGATCAGATGGGAGACTGGCACTGCTCAAAAGTTTCCCCTGCTAGCATGGGACCCAAGGTCAAATGATCCTGGGGCAGCCACAGGTGAATTATGGTTGATGGGGCTCAGACCAGATTCTGTTCATGCATAAGTTTGCCCAGCAGAGGGTGAGCCAAGGAGACAAGATTTCCCCTGATCATCAAGTACGAGAGGACCAGGATAAGTGTCATGATCAGAAACAACAGGGAAAATCAGAGGGAAACAGGTGAAAAAGAAAAGTGTGAGCTCCACTTGGGATGGAGGTGAGCTCTGCTGAGGAAGCTTTCACTACATATACAGGGTACTCTTCCCCATTCTCCTAGCTGCTGGCTGTGCCTCCTGTGGGCATCTTCCAGTAAGGAAGCAGTGGCACAAGAGACACCCCCTCCTTCCTCCCCATCCCCATCTTTTCTCCTCATCACCAGGACACCCTCACACACCCTCTCTTACCTCCAGAGCTTCCCCAGGGTCTTACTGAGCTCAGCATTGTGGAGGTGCGGATACTGGTCAGCCAATTTCCTCCGGGCAGCCTGCGCCCAGACCATGAAGGCGTTCATGGGCCTCTTGACGTGGGGTTTGCTCTTGTTACTTCCATTGACCCGAACAGGCATGGGTACCAGGGTCCAGTCATAGCCGCTCAGCACCTGGCTGACCGCCTCACGGATGCAGACAGGGAACTTGTCGTCATCCGCCTCCGAGTCTTGCTGCTCCTTCTTGACCTTGCCCATCTCCCCATTTCCAGAGCCGGTGAGGTGTGGAGAGTTGTCCGACGCCATGGATGGTCCCGGCGAGAGGCAGTGATGGTCTTCAGAACCCACTGGGCTCATCTCCACCTCCGACAGGTCTTGGTCATCAGCCATGGTCGCTTCCTTCTTCTCACTGGGGAGGGAAGGGAGGAAGAGAAAAACAAAGGAAAGAAAGGAAAAAAGAAAAAGGAAAATAGAGAAAAGGAAAAGCAGCCACCAAATCCGACTGGGACGCCACACTCCGAAGAGCAGACCACGAGACAGGGGCTGCTTGATAAAAGCGCAAGCAAAGCAATAGCCGTGCACACCGCAAAACCCGTGATCGATGGGGGTGGGGATGGGTCAGGGCCCTGATCCATCGGGAGCTCTTATCTCTGCAAATGTCCCAAACTGGCATGTGCAGAGGGGACGATGGCAGCTGCCCAGCTGTGCCAAAAAAATCATAGAATCATAGAATCATAAAGGTTGGAGTGACCACTAAGATCATCTAGTCCAACCATCGTGCCTGCAACCGCTCTAACCATGCAGGACAGGGGGTTCTGGGGGCCTCACAGAGATCCTGCCTGCTTGCAGATCTCCACGGGGGATGAACCAAAGCGACAGATCTCCCATTTCCTAGCCACCTCCAGAGCCCCAGAAGCGGTAGGAGAAAGTGCCAGCGTGACACGCCAGTGCTTGCTGCTCTTGGAGCAAAGACCTAAATCACATCTGCTTCGTGTCCCCAAACACATCCTTGTATATGTATATGTACATATGAGTATGTGTATACATATACATATGCACCTTCATATCCAGATGCAAACACACACATAGTTCAACTTGAAGAGAAGCCCAGGACCTGAGCTGCCCACCCTGTGCACCCCTCCTCTCTCACTGTCTGCAGTCACCTCTGTAAGTCCCTGCCACAGCATCGCTGTCCCCTGATTTGAAAAAAAAAAAAGCTCTAAAAATAAAGCCCCTCCTTCCCCACAACATCTCTCCCCTAGACAGAAGTTAAAAGGAGGAAAGAAAGAAAGAAAGAAAAAATAGGAAGTTACAAAAAAGCATGCCTCTTGTTTAGCTACAAAAGTCAATGCGGAGCAAAGGCTGCTGTCACTCCACTTTCAAGGGATGACATGAATCTTCGCTGAGGAAACTGAAAAAGTGGCAGAAAGTACAAAAAATAAATGTGCATGCCAGTGAGTTCAGGTAGGAAAACTTACGTTGCTGGCTGGTGCGGGCAGCAAACCCTGTGAAGGCTGCAGCTCTTGTCCCAGTGCCCCCCTGTTCTCCCTCCGGCTGTGGGGCGTGCTGCCGGGGAGGTGCTCAGGCAAGTGCCATTCCTGGAGGGAGGCTTGGTTTTTACTAATGCCCCGGCTGGATGCCTCTTGCTGGCTTTGCTGCTTAGCACCGGGGGAGGGAAGGGTGGAAGGTGGAGCCAAGCATTGCTCAGAGCCAGGACACAGTCAGGACTGGTGAGGAGGGGATGCTGCAGCCCCCCACTCCAACTCGGCATTCACTGCTTTCCCCCAGTGGGGATAGAGAGCTTAACCCCAGGGGACTGGATTTGCTGGGCACAGGGAAGGATGTGAAGTAGTGCAACCCAAGGCTGGGCTCCCCTTCCTTTCCCCCACCACCACTGACACGCTTGTAGTATCCACATCCCCATCACGGAGTCCGGTGGGGACCCCACACTGTGCATTGCAACAATCTGGCCCAGGATAATGGGGTCAAAATATTGCAAAAAGAGCCTCCTCAATGTGGAGAAGGGCGTGCAAGAGATCAGGAGCATCCTGAGGATGGAGGACATTAGGTCCAGAAGAGCACTCTGCAGAGCAAGTCATGCCAGTTTGAACCTACCTAGGATTCTTGCGCCCTAAAGATGGGGTCCTTACAACATCTCCATCTCTGTGGGCTCTCACCAAGATGACCAGGCTGAGCTTCCTTGACTCTGTTGAACTGCTCCTGAAGGCAAATATGAGGTCTTTTCAAATGTGAGGACTATTTCACAGTCATTCACTTCTTGTTGCTCATGCACTGGAACACATACAGATTCTAATCACACAACAGGTTACAGAATGTTCCCACAAATTCTTCCATTTTCTAACTTGCTTTCCTTCCCAGATGCATGTGGTTGTTGGCTTCTTCACTTCCCCTTCTCACTGGAGATGACAAAGAGCATTGCCAATCCAGTAACCATGAGAGATCACCCATGAAATTCTAACAGTCTCCCCAGATCCTCCTGAGTCAGCAAGGAGATAGATCTAGCTGCTGCCCCAGCTCTTTGCTGGAGAGCCAACCTGAAGCTGCGAAGCAAGTGCAAGGTGAATGACTGTGACCCAAGGAACAAAGTTCAAAGGATTTCAAGAATATTTTCAGCTTTTGTAGCAGATCTTCACTCTCCAGAATCTTTGCAGTAGAAAGAGCGATGCTGCCCTGGGAGGTGGTGGAGTCACTTGGAGATGTTCCAGAACTGTGTGGATGTGACACAAAGGACATGGTTGGTGGACATGGTGGGGATGGGCTGAGGGTTGGACCAGGTGATCTGTGAGGTCTTTTCCAACCTTCATGATTCCATGATTCATTGTAATACCCTACAAAAACCCTGTCTGGCACTATTTGAAACATAAGGGAACCAGACCCAAGGATGGTGCTAATACACTCAGAATCCAGTATTGGTGCCATGCTTTCTTGACCAAAGCAGCAATTGGTGAGCCACAAGTCTTACAGAATGGGACAATCTCTCCCACCAAGAGAGATCCCAGCTTCCAAGCCAGATGATGTCCATGGCCCACTGGATGCAGAATCAAGGAAGCCACTAAGCTCAATGGTGTCTACAGGGAAAATGAGCCTCTGCTTAACTCCAGCAAGATAGCAAGTGGTAGAGTTCAGTTTTCCTCCATGTCACCAGATCTGGGTGAGCAAAAGAATGTCTGATCCTCCAACTCCCAACTGTGGCAAGATACAAAAGAGGAAGAGGAAGAGGAAGAGGAAGGGGAAGGGGAAGGGGAAGGGGAAGGGGAAGGGGAGAGGAAGGGAAGAGGAAGGGGAGAGGAAGGGGAGAGGAAGGGGAGAGGAAGGGGAGAGGAAGGAAGGCAAGGAGGGAAGAGATCTCTTGTTTTAGGAATCACAGGGCTGGCATGGCTTCATCAATTTAAGGCTTCCTTATGTCTGGATCTGGGAAGTTCTCATATAGCAGGTTTCATTCTCTTAGTTTAAGCTTATATTACTGTGTGGGTGAGGTGCTCTAAGTATTGGGGAGCCCATAAAAAGAGAGAGTCTTTTGCAGATGAAGGATCTAACAGTGAAGGAGTTAGTTCACTGGCTGGAGACCTTCCTATACCACAGATTTGCTGTGTCACCTTGGATAAATCTATTATTTGTGCTTCAGTCCTCGAAATGCAAATGTTGGAGGGTGCCACTTGTTTGTGCAAAAGGCATGTCAGGAGGGCAACAGGCAAAACTGAGGTGGGAAGGGGATTTGTCCTACTACTGTAGGTATTTCTGCATCCAGGCTGGGTGCATAAAGCATCATCACAGGAGCAGGACCCAGCTCAGAAGGGTCTCAATGTGAAGACCATGTTGGTGGGACATCAAGGACAAGCTCCACTGAGTTGTCTAGGGAAGAATGTTGCTGGATGATTGCACCCATGGGAAAGAAGGACTAGGAGGTGAGAGTCCTACAGGAAAGAAGCGAGAAGAAATGAAAATAATAGCTTGGAGAAGGAAAAAAGGCCAGAGGCTGTCCACTGGGAAGTTTTGGTGTCTGCTCTCAGCCACTGGTGGGTGTGGGACCCCAAAAACCTGGCATGGTTGCACCCCAGCAAGCTTCCCATCTGCGAGACAGGGCCAGCTTTTGTCCTGTGCCCAGCCTGGGGGCACAGCACTGGTATTGTCCCAGGACTGCCTGGGAAAATGGGAGGGGTTCCCCATGAAACCTTTCCATAGAGCAAAACAGCGTCAGAGCTAGGAATGGGGGGGTCAGGGCAGACACCAGAAAAAACACACACACAACGGGCAAACAATACCGGCAGTGTGCTGAGGGAAAGGGAGACCCATGAATTGGGAGTTTGATAAGGATTTTCTCCCGCGCGCACCCGCTCTCTCAACAGCCCCTTCAGTTTTCCTGGCACCCCCCTCCTTCCCCTTGCCTACTTGCTTGTTTGGGCCTCAAACAGTGCGCTGCCTTTGTTCGGGATACAGGTGAACGGCCATCATGTGATTCACGCACACGCGCGCGCGCACATAAAAAGGTTTTTCAGAGCGCCCAGCTCGCCTCAGACCCGAGGACGGGAGAGGAGACCTGGGCTGGGAGCAGCAGGGAGAGCACCCATGGAGGTGGGCGCATGGGGTATGTGGGTCTTGGGGTCAGGGTGGGGGTCCGGGGGTCTTGTTCTTCCAACCTTCTGTGGGCATGGGTTGACATCTGGTGTGGAGTAGAGAGGGGCTGCCGAAGCTGAGCGCTCATCCCTCCCCAGCTTCTATGTGGCATGAGCATCCTCACTGGCATCCTCGCTAAGAGTGAGGCTTGCTGGTCCCACTGTGGATGGAGGGGAGAGGCAGGTGGTAAGGAAGAGGAGGATGGAGGGTGGAGGATGGAGAATGGAGGGTGGAAGGCAGAGGATGGAGAGTGGAAGATGGAGAATGGGGAATGGAGGATGGAAGGTGGGTGGAGGGTGGAGAATGGAAGATGAAGGGTAGAGAGTGAAAGATGGAGGATGGAGAATGGAGAATGAAGGGTGGAAGATGGAGGATGGAAAATGGAAGGTGTAGGGTGAAGGATGGAGGGAACCCTCCTGCTGTAAATATGTGTCTTCAGCCCCTTGAGTTCATGCTATCAGGATCTAAATGTATTTACTCTCTCCCCTCAGTCGGGAGGGAGAAAGAAAGGAGAGAAGGACCAGAAAATCCAATGGTGGGAAGATAGGGGATGTGGGGGATGGTTGGCACCTGCTGGAAATCTTCGTGCCCCAGCCAGAAATAGTGTGTCCAGCCTCTTCAATGAGCACTGCACATCCCCTTTGATGTGGAAGTGTCATGAGACCCTCTCACACCTCATCACCATGACCATGAAATAGATGGGAAGCCACATGGCTCAGTCCTGAGGTGAAAGTAGAAAGAGGAAGGCATGAGAACAGGAGAAAATGGCAAGGTTTCAACTGGTTACTCTTCTAATTCAAAGGTTGCCTGAGTGTGATGCTCAAGAGAAAAGTAGAGAGGAGCAAAGACAGAGGCTAACATTTCATGCTGATGCTCAGAAAATATATGAGTCTGTGGCTGGCCTCACTCGTGAGACATCATGGGACTTGATTTATGGCAGCCTGGATGAGATCAGGACCTTATGTTTGCTGGGGCTCCAAAGGCCAGCCTCATCTCTGCCACTTCCTTGTGCCTCACTCTCAAATGCCTCCCTGACCTAATGTCACCGAGCAAATAGTGTGGAGGCAGATTTGAAGGCCTTCCCATAAACAGGAGAAGCAGAGGGACCCCATATCCCATGCTTCATGATGCTGCAGCAGTTGTGATTTTCTGTTGCAGGGGACAAAGGAGTATGAAAGCCACCCTGAATTTGATCAACCACCATCACCAGCACGAACAAAAAGTCCTTCAGTTCGCTTTGTGCCATAAGAGTCCTCACAACTGGGAACTGGGCATGGGAACCATAGCTGGGCTCTGGTCTTCATCACACCTCATCGATTTTGGCTGAAGCTCCCAATACTGGTCTTAGACCTTCCCATGTGACTCTTGGCTCTCGCCACCAGGAGACTCAGTGAGGCAGCCCAAAGAGGAAGGAAATGGCATGGGTCATGCAGAAAAATCAGAGAGCTGACTGCAACCCATTCTGGGTTTGGCAGCACTGCACCGGGAGGCACATTCATGTGGCTGCAGGACAGTTTGCTGTGTTCCCCATCGCTGGGGAACCAAAGGAACACGGAGTTGATCATTGCATGGAGGGCTTGTTTTTTTGCTTCTTAGATCCAGTGTCCTGGGTGGTGGCTGCGTTCCTCCAAAGTTATTGACAAGGAGTGGGTGATGCCAATGGCATGTGGCCCTGTCTTTCATCACCCCAAGATGAGAATTCTAGGGAAGCTTTCCTAAATCTCAACCTTGAAGCTGCAGGAACCCTCTTGGAAAGCAGAGAGGGCAAGCACCTCAGAGCATTGCAAAGATACCAGGCAGCTCCTGGTCCAACATCTGATCCAATTCTTCATGAACACGGGGAGAATTGGTAATGGTAACGCTATGCAAGTCCTTATTGTCCCTTGGACAATTTCCTGCATTACCAGGGCCTGGAAAGATCAAAGAGTAGCAAGGCCTGGCAGGTCTGTCAGCTACCTGCTTTGATGGGTGGCAGACTATTAACCCCCTCACCTCCTAACCAAGAGGCCAGGTGTAATTCCAAAAAGCAAATCCTAAAA